CTTACTGTCATTCCTTCTGTCATTCCTTCTGATCTTTCTGTCATTCCTTCTGTTTCTTCTGTCATTCCTTCTGTCCTTTCTGTCAGTCCTACTGTTCCTTCTGTCATTCCTTCTGTTCCTTCTGTCATTCCTACTGATCTTTCTGTCATTCCTACTGTTCCTTCTGTCATCCCTACTGTTCCTTCTGTCATTCCTCCTGTTCCTTCTGTCATTCCTTCTGTCATTCCTACTGATCTTTCTGTCATTCCTTCTGTTTCTTCTGTCGTTCCTTCTGTCATTCCTACTGATCTTTCTGTCATTCCTTCTGTTTCTTCTGTCATTCCTTCTGTTCCTTCTGTCATTCCTTCTGTTCCTTCTGTCATTCCTCCTGTTCCTTCTGTCATTCCTTCTGTCATTCCTACTGATCTTTCTGTCATTCCTTCTGTTTCTTCTGTCATTCCTTCTGTTCCTTCTGTCATTCCTCCTGTTCCTTCTGTCATTCCTACTGATCTTTCTGTCATTCCTTCTGTTTCTTCTGTCATTCCTTCTGTTTCTTCTGTCATTCCTTCTGTATCTTTCTTTCTGTCATTCCTTCTGTTTCTTCTGTCATTCCTTCTGTTCCTTCTGTCATTCCTTCTGCCATTCCTACTGTTTCTTCTGTCATTCCTTCTCTTCCTTCTGTCATTCCTTCTGTCATTCTTTCTGTCAGTCCTACTGTTCCTTCTGTCATTCTTTTTGTTCCTTCTGTCATTCTTTTTGTTCCTTCTGTCAGTCCTACTGTTCCTTCTGTCATTCCTTCTGTCATTCCTACTGATCTTTCTGTCATTCCTTCTGTCATTCCTACTGTTCCTTCTGTCCATTCCTTCTGTCAGTCCTTCTGTCAGTCCTACTGTTCCTTCTGTCATTCCTTCTGTCATTCCTACTGATCTTTCTGTCATTCCTTCTGTCATTCCTACTGATCTTTCTGTCATTTCTTCTGTTTCTTCTGTCATTCCTACTGTTCTTTCTGTCATTCCTTCTGCCATTTTTACTGTCATTCCTTCTGTCATTCCTTCTGATCTTTCTGTCATTCCTTCTGTTTCTTCTGTCATTCCTTCTGTTCTTTCTGTCATTCCTACTGTTCTTTCTGTCATTCCTTCTGCCATTCCTACTGTCATTCCTTCTGTCATTCCTACTGATCTTTCTGTCATTTCTTGTTTCTTCTGTCATTCCTTCTGTTCCTTCTGTCGTTCCTTCTGCCATTCTTACTGTCATTCCTTCTGTCATTCCTTCTGATCTTTCTGTCATTCCTTCTGTTTCTTCTGTCATTCCTTCTGTCCTTTCTGTCAGTCCTACTGTTCCTTCTGTCATTCCTTCTGTTCCTTCTGTCATTCCTACTGATCTTTCTGTCATTCCTACTGTTCCTTCTGTCATCCCTACTGTTCCTTCTGTCATTCCTCCTGTTCCTTCTGTCATTCCTTCTGTCATTCCTACTGATCTTTCTGTCATTCCTTCTGTTTCTTCTGTCGTTCCTTCTGTCATTCCTACTGATCTTTCTGTCATTCCTTCTGTTTCTTCTGTCATTCCTTCTGTTCCTTCTGTCATTCCTCCTGTTCCTTCTGTCATTCCTTCTGTCATTCCTACTGATCTTTCTGTCATT